CATGGTCGTCACACTGGGGACACAGTGTTTTGGTTTCCATGTTTTTATTCTTTCATTGTGGTTTTGTCACGTGAATTTCTTTTGTTGTTTATGATTCTGATATGAGAAATAGGTTGAAGTATGTTTCTGTTTGTATTATCCAGGTGCCTAGATCCTTTCTTTATTGGTTATATAAAGCTGGTTGGTACAGGGTTCAGGTTCTCTCAGGTTTATTTTGGAGGGAACGGATGGCTTCAGATCAGCTATTCAGGAGTACCCACAGAATCCCAATTCGGGTTCCAGTAAGGTACACACACACATGCTTCCTTCACCATGTGAAGGCAGGATCCGGGCGCTCTCAGGCGGTCCCCTGGGTTCTCAAGCCCTCTGCTAGATGGAGGCCAGAACTCAGCATTCTCTGTTCTGCTGAGATCTGAACCACTATCCCAATGGACGTCCACACCCCCTTTTTTTGGTCTTTTTGAGGCAGGGTCTCCCTGTAGCCCCAGCTGGTCTGGCACTTGCTATGTAGACCAGGCTGGCCTTGACCTCACAGAGATCCACTTATCTCTGCCTTCTGAGTGCTGGGATCAAAGGCTCTCTTTAGTGTCTTTTCACGTGGCATGACAAGCCTAGGCCCAGCTGTGTGCCTCTTGCCCTGAATCTGTAGTCATCCCTTTCTTTAGGGAACCTGGCTTCCTTCTGGTGGGAAATGGTCCTTCAGCACCACAGCCCAGGCTCCCGATATACACACTGCTGCAGGCTGATTGCTCTCTGTGCCCTTTCGGTGGACAAATCACCACACCCCAGTTTACCTTACCAGTTCAGACAGTGGTACCCAGATGCGCACTTGATCACTCTTTGACCTCTTCGCAAGCATCAAGGATGGTGGGTGAGAGTTCCCGTAAGCACCCATTTGTATACAAGACGGTTACTGAAAATCGTTGCAGTTTGTCTTGTAGCACATGTTCTCCCCATTTGAAACAGTTAATCTGTTGTCAGAATCCCTGGAAAGTACGGAGTGGGGGTGCCCTTCCGTGCCCCACAGTACCCAGTTCTCACAGAAAGCACACAGCGGGCACCTCTCCTCTCACTGGGCCCACAGCACCCATTTTCATAGTGCGAAGTGTGGGCACCCACATCTCGCCTGCCCAGACCCCCTTGGCCTCCGTCTGCTGTGTGCCGTCAACACCTGCAGCTGCTCCTCAGCCGCCTTGTCTCTGACTGATTATGATTTTCAGAAATTGCTTTCTTGCATATCCTTTAGGGCTTGTTTGTCTATGGGGTGCTGCTCCCTGACCCTGTGTGCGGATTAGTCTGCTGCCCTTAGATTTCAGAATGATTTTGTTTGCATGTAAATTCTCGGGTCACATTTCTTTCTTACAATGTCTTTTCTTTGGGGGGAGTCTTTTTGAGACAGGGTGTCCCAGCTGGCCTAGAACTCACTATGTAGACCAGGCTGGCCTTGAACTCACAGAGATCTGCCTCTGCCTGCCTAGTACTGGGACCAAAGGTGTGCGCCACCATTCCTGGCTCTTAAGAATCTCTTAAACAGGTTAATCCATTTTCTTCTGTTCTGGTTTAATCCAGTTCACTTTCCATTGTAAGCCATCTAGTCTTTTGCTTAGATATAGAAAGGAAATGTCTTTACCCCCTAGGTTTGTGGCGTATCATTTCTGTTTTGTTTTGTTTGAGAATGGGTCTCACTATGTGGCCCTGCCTGGCCTGGAACTCTTTATGTAGACTAGGCTGGCCTCAAACTCAGAAATCCACCTGCCCCTGCCACCCGGGTGCTAGGATTAAAGGTGTGCCCACCATGCCTGGCTGTGGTGCACCTTTCTGTTTTGGCAGCCTCGTGCCTTCCCTGCCTCCCTTCCCCATCTTTTTACCCTGGGCTTGGAGCATAGGGCCTTGTACTTAGGACTGAGCTATGGCCCAAGCCCTGAACCTCCCATCGAGTCTCCTGTTGATGCCTGTCGGCTCCTCTGCCAGTCTTCTGCGCTCCTTTCTCTTGAACTTTTTCCCACCCTTTCCACTTTTTTTTGCATTATTTATTTTCCCATTCTCCTTTGAAGGCACCATGTGTTTGTTTGCTTTGAGTTCCTTCTGATCTGTTCTTTCTGCAGTTCCTTACTCAGATCTGTGCTGAGGCACCTGACTTCACTTTCATTTTGTGGAGTATAGTGTCTGTGGCCTAACAGAACGTCCCAGGAACTGCAAGAAAGTCACAGAAGTGTCTGTGTGGGGAAGTTCTGGAGGTGGGGCCCATGGCTGGTGGGCCATGCAGCCAGAGCGCTGGCTTTCTGGGGTGTGGGTTGTCACAGCCGAGGTACCCCGAGGAATAAGCAGCGATGGGCTTGGTGTGGGGGTCTGTCCACGTTGGAAGGTGCTTTCTGTGGTGTAGAAGTAGAGTGGGAAAGAGAGTGGAGAGTGAGGTTCTCGGCTGGGGGCTGCCTCACTGCTAAAATGAAGGCAGCCCATCCTGTTTCTCCGAGAACAAGCAGAGCCCACGTCAGCATCTGCAGCCGCCAGCCTTCTTAGCTCGCGAGGCCAGTGCTTTGTCATTTCCTGCTAAGCCTCCTCTTGGTTCCTGGCTTCTGTTTTGTAGGTAACAGACTCCAGTCCCTGGTGACCTGAATTCTTGCTCGTCAGTGGGCCCATCTTCACGTGTTCTGGATGATGTCAGAACAGGACCTGGCGGATGTGGTTCAGATCGCAGTGGAAGACCTGAGTCCTGATCACCCAGGTACAGAGCTGCAGGGCAGTAGGTGAACTGGTACCAGCTCTGTTCCTTCAGCAGCAGAAGGTGTGCTGGTGTGTTTTGTTCCAGCAGAAACTGTCAGAGTGTAAGCAGTGCCCCTCCACATAAACACACATCCACATCCTCACTCTCCAGTCGGCCCCAGGTCCCTTCCCAGTGCCCGGCATCTGTCTTCTTGAGTACCCATCCCCTGCTCCATTGTACCTCTGATGTGTGGGCAGCACGTCCTCCTGCCCTGAGCTCCTGGGCTCTTAGTGTGTTCTGCATCCTCTGCTCTGTTTCCCCTGTGTAAGACTTGATGCTGCAGTGGGCTGTGCAGTCTCGCCCTGCGGGCGTGGTAGACTCAGTTCTTCATGCCTGTCTCCGTGCTTTACTTTTCTCTATTCTATGGAGTGGGGTAGTAGGAATAATCCTTGCACATGTATCTAGGAATTTTTTTTTTAAAAAAAGACAGGGTCTCCCTGTAGCCCCAGCTGATCCGGAACTTGCTATGTAGACCAGGCTGGCCTTGATCTCAAATTGATCCGCCTGCCTCTGCCTCCTGAGTGCTGGCATTAAAGGCGTGCGCCACCATGCCCGGCAGTTGGGAAAATGTTTTCGTAGGGTCAGTTCCCAGATGTAGAGATGCAGTGTGCACTGAACATTTTGGTAAGACAACCAACAGGTTTTCCAGAAAAGTCTTACTTACTCCTGTACTGACTGCTTGAAAACAGGTGACCCTGCACTTCTGCCAAGGGCAGCCGCCGTCTTTATGACATTAAAGGCATTATGAAACCTTAGCTAACCATCTACTGTAAGGCCACCCTTTAGAGTGAAATCTGAATTTAGGAACTTTTGAGTTGCAGGAGTGTCATCTGTGAAAAACCTTTGCTTATACTATTTTTACTTTTATTTTTTTATTATTTTTATTTTATGTGTATGAGTGTTTTGCCTGCATGTGTGTAAGTACACCCTGTCTTGAAATCCCCATGGAGGTTAGAAAAGGGTGTCAGATCCCCTGGAACTGGAGTTAGCAGACAGAGTTAGCAGACCATCCCATGTAAGTGCTGGGAATCAAACCTGGGTCCTCTGCAAGAGCAGTCAGTGCTCTTAACCGCGGAGCCATCTCTCCAACCCCGCCTACGCTATTTTAAAAAGATTTTAGAGTCTTGTGGTCTGGGGTGTGCAGAGAGTTAGGTGCAGCCTTGACGTGTGCCCGTCTTCCCGGGAGCACATTCTGTGATGCACTGGTTTTGTTGCCAGGAAGCATGCATTCTTCCTTTCTGTAGTTAGGAAGAAGCTAGCGGTGTGACCAAGACTAGTCACTGAGCCCCCCTGAATGCATTTGCTATTTAGCAAATGAAAAAGCTAAAGTAGCCATTGCCTGGGTCTCTCTGCTTCCCCTGTCCTGGAACAGGTACAGTTTGCAGGTAGAGTGAGCAGGCGTCCAGTGAGATCTGCAGAACCTTTGACCAACTCCAGACATTGCCCGAGTTACTGCTCTTCATGAACGAAGTAGCATCTGAGTAAGGCTGGATGGGAGGCACTTCCATGTCACCTGCGAAGATAGTTGGGGGTTGGTGGCAGGTCATAGCTATGTCATGGACAGTCAGTACTATCAGGGCACAGCTCATCCTAGTGACTTATAGGGTGGGGTGCACTTGAGAGTGGGCTGGATGGTTTGCAAAGATATGTGCAAGATTGTTTCCTCTTCGTGAACGTTCAGATGTCTGGTCTCGTCCTAACCAAAGTGCCAGAGTAACGTGGTCATGTGTATGTGCACAAACACACATAACAGATTTATTGCTTATGTGTACTCTTATAGTATGTATTCTTACATACATCCGTTTCTGATGAAAGCAGTTAAAGCCATTGCTAAGGGAGGAGGCAAGGCACACACAGATCTGCAGATTGGATGACCTAACCCTCTCTGCCCTGAAAGAGGCCAGAGAATTACACCAGGCAGTTAGTGTTGGCTGTTTCAGGCAAGAAGATGAGAAGATATGTGGGTACCTCTTTCCTCGTGGGTCCTGGCCACGGATCCACGAGAACAAAGGGAGCAGAGGTGACGAACAGGGTCAGGACGGCCATGAGTAAGATGGAAAGACCTTCTGGGAGTGAGCTTCAGTGAGACAGCTCGTTTATTCAGGGGGGTTGGAGGGAAGATACAGGGTGAGGACGGCAGCCAAAGCTTCACCTGATAGGTGAACGTGGCAGGGGGACCCTATCATGTAGAAAGGGGAGGGGCGATTGCCTGGCTGTAGTGCAATGCCTAATTATCATACGGGGAAACCAGGGGCAGCTCCCACAGGGAAGTATGTCAAAGGTCATGTTCCAAATAAGGTCAGGCATCTGTGCTTGGAGACACTTTGCAAATAAGGTCAGGCAGAGAGTAGGGAGCCCCTGCTGAGAAAGGGAGTCCTCCATTTTGTGCCGAGCTCGTAGACCTATCCGGACATGGTGGACTGCGACCTTCACAGCAGGGTCCCCCAACAAAGACAAACACACTGGTGACATGAAAACCCTCATGGCACAAGGTGCAGTAAAAGTAATGACTGCAGAATGTTGTGATTGTAAATTAGTGAGTTTATAAAGCTTGCCCATGTTGGGCTTGAGAGATGGCTCAGTGGTTGAGTGCTTGCTACACTTCCAGAGGCCCCAGTTCCAGCTCCCAGCACCCATGTTAGGTGGCTCACAACCACTTGGAACTCCGGCTCTAAAGGATTCAATGTCCACTTCTACATTTCTGGCTTCGCCCCCCTTCCCAAATGTATTTACACAGATACACACACACACACACACACACACACACACACACACACACGAGCATGCACATAAATAAAAATAATTAAAATAAATCTTCACAGATTGTGTCTAGGGAAAAGGACTGGATGACACAGGTAAACAGAACTGTGGTTGCTGGGCCAGGCCACAGTGGGTTGTGGTTACCTTTTTCTTTCTTTTTCTTTTTTTTTTTTGGTCTTTTTGAGTCTCCCTGTAGCCTCAGCTGACCTGGAACTCACTGTGTAGACCAGGCTGGCCTTGAAGCACAGAGATCCATCTGCCCCAGCCTCCTGAGTGCTGGGACTGGTTACATTTTTAATACTTGTTTAGTACTGGATTTAGATGAGTTGGGAAGTCATGGGTGGTGTTGCTGAGGCCAGATTTGAGTTGTTGCTGTCTGAAAGCAGGTCGTGGTCAGCAGGAGTTGCTGGTGTGCAGCTTTTGGCTGCAGCATAGCTTAGCATGTTGGGGCTGAGCTGATGTTGAGAAGATGTGTCATGTAGAGAGAGTTGTGGCTGTCTATACATGTGTCCCTCAGCCCCATGTTGGGGAGTTTGCCCAAGACCTCACACCAGGTGAGATTGCTTTTGATTCTGCAGGGAGCTGGCTGGCGGAAAGACGTTCAGTAAAGCTGGGAAGAAGTCATGAATGAAGACTTAGGCATGGGGTGGTCAGAGTGGTCAGAGAGAGTGTTGGTTGGGGCCTGACCTCTCTTTGGAAGGACGGAGGGCCCTCTTTTAACTTTGACAAAGTAAAAAGTGGGCTGTGCTATTTCACGCTCAGCCGTAAGGCGGCAGCACTGTGCCCTGTTGCGGTGAAGAACCGGGAACTCGCCATGCTCACTGAAGTTTCTGTCTCTGTTGTTGCGTTTCAGTTGTTTTGGAGAATCATGTTGTGACAGATGACGACGAACCCGCTCTGAAGCGCCAGCGACTAGAGATCAATTGCCAGGATCCCTCTATAAAGGTAACGCACGGGTCCTGTGTGTGTCACGTCGGTGATGTCCACCGTCAGCTGGGGCTTCGATTGACTCCTTGTGTCAGGCTGTGCCTTTCCGAGCTCTGCGAGAGCCTCTTCCTGTTTCTTCAGTGCTGGGGTCTCGGGGAGGCCTTTGCTTCATCCGTTCGGTCCCTGTCAGGCTCTGATCTGGCTCTGATGATCTCATTTACTGAGATACATCTGCAGGGTTCCTCCTTCCAGATGAGACCACAGGGAGCTTGTGGGGTTGTACCCTGGAGGGACCATTCAACTGCCACATAGAGCACAGGCCAGATTCTCTTGGCTGTGTGTGTGTGTGTGTGTGTGTGTGTGTGTGTGTGTGTGTGTTAAACTAGAGTGGGAAGCTGCCCAGTGAGGCATCTTCCTGTGACACAGGCCTGCCTACGGTGGGAGGAGGAAAACAGACACTCCTGTGGCCCCCAAGTCCTGAAGTTGGCTGGCTGGGGTTGTCCGCACCAACTCAGTCAGCAGGTGATTGCTTTTGGGTCTTAGTATTTGCTTGTTTGAATCCAGCAGAACTAGGGGGAGACATCAGCACAGAAGTTTCCAGGAGCAAATCAGATGGCAGTCCTCTTCATGTGCTTCCTCCGTGTAGGGCATCTGCTTGGAGATGCCAGGTCACTGTTAACAAGAAGCAGTGCTCCCTACATGGGGGCTTTAAAGCTTTACAGCTCCATTCACAGTGAAATCCACCTTTAGACAGTGGGTGGAAAATGATTGTGTTAGTGACACTGTGTTCCATTTTAAAGTAAAGCATGGTCATGCTTTTGTCACCAGACACCCTCACTGTAAACAGTAGAACAGATCAAGTGGCTGCCTTGGTTCTGTGGCCCATGGCAGCACACGGTGTGTCACTACAATCCCATGCAGCCATGTACCGCCTCCCACACTGCTGGAAAACATTTGCCATAATTTTTTTGAGAGGCCTGGTGAAATACTAATCTCTCTTTGTTGATTTGCTTGATAAGTTACCCTATTTTAGTCTAGAACAGGGATTTTCACCCAGACTCCAGGCAAAATTATTTCACATTTAGAGGTAAAATGGTCTAACTGGGTTGATAGAATTTGGAAGTCAAATGTTTGATGTCCTCAAATTATAAAAAATAGTGGTCCATGGTCCAAGAACTGACTACCAGAGTGAGCTCCAGATGCTCCGTCTGCCTGCTGACCTTGCCTATGGTCTGAACGGCACGTGCCTGTGGCACTTGGAGACGAGTCCAGTGCCCGCTGCTCACTCCTGTGCACACGGCTTCTGTGCTTTTTGTGGAGAGACATCAGTCGGGTGATTAGTTTCTTCAGCCTTTTCCTAACCTAGTGCCCCCTGGCACGTCTTTTCAGATAATGTGATGAGCAGAGGCATAAGTGAGGGGTTTGGATATGTGGGGTTCTCTCCCGAGAAGCTGCTGTGTGTAGCAGGACATGAGGCAAGTCCTTTGCGTCGTTCGGAGCCAAGCTGGGCCCGTGGGAATGCTCTGAACCTACCCGCTTAGTTCCGCCTCACCCGGGCTTGGGTGGCATGGTGCCGCCGCCACCACCACCACTGCAATTTTGGCATTCTGTGATTCCTTTCAGGGTAGAACGAGATGGGCCCTCTAGCATGGGCCATCCGCAGGGGGCATCCTGTTCTGCCTGCCCGTGCTCTGAGGTCTCTCTGAGATCTCGGGCCCACCCGAGCTGGTGTCTCCGCTCTCTCAGACCTGCACCACACTCCTCATTCTGTTCTCTTCGGATGCTGCCAGCCTCGCTCCTCCCTGGGCCGTTGAGGCTTCATTTCCTGTCGTCACCCAGCACCCTGAGTCCTGGGTTAGGGAGCTTTTCTCACAGTAGAGTTCCTGCATGATTCATGCACCTGGTGGCTCCTGGCGGCTCCTGGCAGGAGTGGCAGCTGGGGGAGCAGAGCTTCTCTCGGGTCTGTTCTTGGGGTGCTGTGTGCTGGGCCGCTGACTTCAGTTTGGTATTTGGAAGCTGCTCTTTTCGCCAGCCGCTAGGTGGCACGCTTGCCACTCAGAAATTCCCTGGAAGGGTCACAGATTTCAGTGGGGTAAGCTTCCAGCTTCCAGCCCGGCAGATGTGAGCATGCAGAGTGTGTGATTTCCAGATTGTTTGGGAGTTAGGTGTAATCTCTTATCATTAGGATTTTGCAGCTTTATGTGTGAATCTGTTGATCAACCACAAGGATAGGCTCGATGTATGACCTTAGCAAAGGTGAGAATTCTGCTGCAAAGGCATTCAGGTACAGAGGGCTGGGTAGTCATTGAAGAGCTAGGCAGGGATAGGGCTCTCTTGTCTGGGTCAGGAGCCAGCTCGGGGTCCTCGAACTTGCCTTGTGCGGTGGAAGACGCCCTCCCTGGAGCTTCTCTCTCTTCACTTCCAGTCTTTCCTCTACTCCATCAACCAGACGATATGCCTGAGGTTGGACAGCATTGAGGCCAAGCTGCAGGCTCTCGAGGCTACTTGCAAGTCTCTGGAAGAGAAGCTGGACCTGGTCACCAACAAACAGCACAGCCCCATCCAGGTCCCCATGGTGGCCGGTTCCCCTCTCGGTGCCACGCAGACCTGCAACAAAGTGCGATGGTAAGTGTGGAGGAGCCAGGGCTCTGTGGGCCACCCTGGAAAAACGCCCCTGTGCCAGCGCAGGCGCCTGCTGTTAGTGACCTGCCCAGTGGTTCCGTGGCACTGATTTCACTTAGACTGAAACCAAACACAGGTTCTGTGCTGGAAGGGCCAAGTCACAACTTTTCTTCTTGGCCTAGGCAGACGGCTCATCTCTCCTTACACCTGACCATGAACTTGGCTGATAGGCACTTCCTTCCTTTCTCCTTCCAGCTCTGCCTGGCTAGTCATTGTGTATGTTTTCTTCAGGGGTGGTATTTGTATATTTCGCTGGATTGCAACCAGATTGATTCTACTCAAGTCTATAACTTGCGTTGTACCCATTTTTTAAAAAGAAGGTTTGGAGCTTGGTCTCAGCTGAGCAGTGGTTTTATACACTGTCCAAAGCAGAGCATCACGACTGACTCCCCCACACTGGGTCCACTGGCCTGCGTGGCAGCACCACCAATGCTCTTGCTGGCACTTTTACCCTTTCCTACTAGGCTGGTTAGGAAGAAGCCCGCTGTGGTAGCTGGTCCCTGTGTCTGTATCCAAGGCCTGCAGCCTCTTGCCCTTTGGGTTTGGGAGGAACAGGACAGTGGGTGGCAGTGGGAGCCACTGCAGTCCTACAGGACACCAGGAGCCCTGCTGCAGTGGAGATGGTTGCTGGTGCCGCCCTGCCCATGGGTGCTGGCAGCTGCCTGGTGTACTGTAGGGGGTGTGTGGGAAGGGACAGTAGAGGATCTCTTTGCTGGCTAGTTTTGGGGTGCTCAGGAGCACCACAGTAGCTTCCTGCTCTCTGAGACAGTTCTTGATGATGTGCTGGGCTGTGTCATTTACAGTGCCTCCCATAGCTCTCACGAGGCCCCCCCCCCCTACATTTTGATCTCCCTCTGGTTGTGCATTGTGTTTCACTTCCTGGTGGGAGGTGGGATTGTTCTTATGACAGTCACTGCATGTTGTCTCTCAGTAGACACTTGACAGCATGCTCTCTGTGTCTCTCTAAAGCCTACAAACCTACTGACTTACCCATTCTTCCTTAAGACAGTTCTCTTTGAAATGGCTCCTTGTTCTAACATGCCGTGTTCAGAAATACAACTTTAAGAGTTAATGGAGTGGCCTGTCTCACAGGGCAAAGTGGAAGGAAGCAGTGTGTGATAGAAAACGCACTTCATGCATATCTGGGCTGAGATGAGCCTTGCGTGTCTCCTCCTGGTGTGACTGACCCGGGGTGAGGTGGAGGTTGTGCACAGCAGCTGCTGGTGGATGTTCCTGAATGGCAGGTTCTCTGTGCTGTTTCCCAGGAAGCAAAGTCGAGTTCTTTCTAGTGTGACAGAGGACTTGTGTTCCTGGAAAGTTCAAGTCATATTAAAACTGCAAGGATGTCTTGTGTCTGATGCCGCCTGGGGTCTGGTTCTGGCTGAGAGTTCGGCCCATTTTCTTCCTTTGAGAGCACAGGACCTGGGGCGTTTGGCGGGGCCGGGGGGAGGCACGTGTTAGATTAGGTTGTCTTAGACACTGGAGAGCATCTCAGCATTTCAGCCTCCTAGGCTGCACCCTAGACTTGTGGTGTCCTTCTGTGCGAGCCACGCGTGGCCCACTGATTCCCAGCTTCTGCGCACCTCCACTGAGCGGCAGCACCGCCCTGAGCGGTGAAGTGAAGAGGGTGCAGCTCTTTGGCACAAGAAGATGCCCGTTCTGAGGAAGGCCGCCTCGGTTCTGTATCACTACTGTACTTGTGTTTGCAACAGGCCGTCTTCACAAGCTGGGGACGTGTTAATAACAACACCTCTCTCTCAGATCCCATCGTTGACCTTGGTCTAGTTTTGGTCTGGGAGGAACTAGAGTTGAAGAATGTGGGCTCTGCCTGGCTTGGGTAAAGCTCAAGGGCACTGCGTTTTGGAATTCCATCTGTTGGGGAGCACAGGATGTCAGTGTCACCTGGCTGGGCAGCCCCAGGTCCTAGGTGTTTCCAGTCTCAGTTTCCTCATCAGAAGGAAGGCCAGAGGCAGCTCTGCTGCTTGGATGTGTGGCTCTCCTGTTGTGACGGCGACCTGGCCCATGTTCTCTAGAAGGCTGTTAACAGAAAACTTGAGGGAGATGCAGAGGATAAGAGCTGCATCCCAGGATTTTGGTGAACTGTGGATGCAGGAGGAAGTCACTGATGTACAGGCATAGATGAGGCGAGAGTTGTGCATCCGGAGCACAGGTGGCAGAACGTGAACCGGCCTCGGAGTCAGCAGCATGTGAGTGACAGGTGCTTCTGTGTTTTATTCGCCTGCCACCTCAGGCACCTGTAAGACGCCGGGTCTGGTTATTTTATATCCAAATCATATGCTCTTCAAAACAACTCAAAGCCTTGGGCCCATTCCTCTCATTGGCTGTGATGTGATGAAGCAGGAGCCTAACTCACAGGACTAAGGTAGATGCTACCGTCGGGATCTTTGAGCTGTAAGGAGGCCTCCTGAGAATGCACAGAGCTGGAGGACATTGCCTTCCATTGGAGAGGCCACATGCGTCCAGTCTCAGGAGGCTGTGCCCAAGACCCTCTCTGCTCTAGAAGTCCCATGCTCGCTGCTGGTCGTGTGGCACCTGGCCTGACTGGACTGCCGTCAGCTGCGAGGGGCACTTACATAGTTGTTCTGCTCCTTGGCAAATGGAAGGGCACTGGGGCCCTGCCAGCCTGCATGGCACTAGGTCCACATGTTCACATTCTGCACCTGGATGAGGACACTCAAGAAAGAAAGAGAAAAGAATGCCTGTTTGATTTGAAACCAGAGTCTATCACTAGAGAAATGTTTGTGAGACTACTGGATGGGTTTCGCCCGACTGTGGCGTTCTGCCTGGAGAGTCGGGCCTCTGTTCCTCCTGCAGGTGCGTTGTTGTAAGTGTGGACTTTTCCTAGTTGTAATTGTAGGGATGGTGATGTGATGTTTGGATGAGCAGAAGGTGTTGAAGGATCTGCATTGTTAGGGAAGTCTCTGGTTGGATGAGCCCAACCTTTAAAGCCTGGGCTGTGAACATTTCATCTGGAGCTGGTGCTGTATCGCCTGAGCCAATGGCAGTGTCGAAGGTGGGCACAGGCTTCTCCACCCAGCTGACATGCAGGTCATTCTGCTGTTCATTGACATGCAGGTCATTCTGCTGTTCATTGACGCCGGGCCCGGGTGGTTGAAGGAAGCCCTTGGTGTAGCTCTGTGCGGGTCTTTGCCGGTCTAAGATCCGGACGGACGTGGGCCAGCGCATCAGCAGGCAGCGTGCAGACAGCGACAGGGCGTTACCTCCAGGGGGTCGTGTGCAACTAGATTGCTCGATAACCCAGCAACTCAAACTCAGACGTTTCTGTTTGTTTTTAACTAAGCCTATTACCTAGAAAAATGTCTGTTTCTTATTTTTAAAAGTAATATATTTTTGTTTTTAAAAATGTCAAGAAGTTTTAGGGCTAGAGAGATGGTACAGTGGGTCAAGGTGCTTGCCACCAAGCCTGATGACCTTAGTTCCATCCCTGAGATCCATGTGATGGAGGGATAAAACTGGCTCATGAGGGTTTTCCTCTGATCGCCACATGTGTGCTGTGTCTTGTGTGTGTGTGTGTGTGTGTGTGTGTGTGTGTGTGTGCGCGCGCGCACACACTCAGACACACAATTTTTAAAATGTAAATTTAAAAAGGTGGGGCTGGAGAGATGGCTCAGCAGTTTAAGAACACTGACTGGCTGCTTTTGTAGAAAACCCCAGTTCGACTCCCCATACCCACATGGTGGCTAGTGGCCATACTTAACTGCAGTTCCAGGGGAATCTGACAACCCCTTCTGACCTCTCTGGGCATTGTATAACATGGGTACTACATGCAGGTAATATACTCATACACATAAAATAAAGTTAATAGATAAAATATTAAAACACAAAACACAAAAGCTGGGTGTGGTGGTGCACACCTTTAATCCCAGTACTTGGAAGGCAGAGGAAGGTAGATCTCTGAGACTGAGGCCAGCCTGCTCTGCCTAGTGAGGTTCAGGCCAGCTGGGTCTGCAGGGAGACCCTGTCTCAAAAAGACCACAAAACAAAACACCAAAATCCAGTTGTAGTGAATAAAAGGCTTTTGTATAATAACAGTTCTCAAAGTGTAAAAAGGGTTTAGAGCTTCCCTTGGAGGTGAGAAGGGTTTTCTTTGTTTTCCTCGGTCAAGAATGGTTATGACTCCCTCCACCAAGCCGATGCTGCCTCTCTGGTAGTTCCTGGGGGATCAGCTGTTTCCATGGTGCTGGAAGCTCACAGGGAAGTGGTTTGATCTGGCCCTCCTGTTTCTTGGTGAGCTGGTTCTGCTGCTCATCCCTGGTAGTGGAAGTCAGAACTTCCATTTAGGGGCATCAGCATCCACAACCAGAGCCTCATGCTCTGGAGTCTCGGAATGAATGCGGTGGGCTCGACAGGGCAGTTTGGCTTCTGGGGCTGGCTGGCTTTGGTGGCATGGACTTGTTTATTTCTTAACCTAATTTTGAGTTGTGATCGCTTCTTTTCAATGCCGTGCTTCATCTGCCTGCCTGGCCTGCCCTGCCCTTCCCTGCTGTGCACAGCCGCACACTCTGTGCACCGCAGGGTTGAGTACTGGCTGAAGGTGGGATGTAGTTTACATAATCACAGGCAACTTGGAGACTTCCTTTATCGAATCTGCTGACTCAGAGACTCACTCTAGCCACTAAAGCTGCAGTTAAAGGCCCTACTGGATCACGAGTTCTGACAGTTTGGAGGCTTCTTGGTGCCAACTCGCTGATGGGTACTCGGCAGACTGCAGCACCCTGGGAGGCATTGCCATCTTAACCATGATGGTTCAGGAATATGGTGTATCTGTTTATGTGTCAGGTCTTTAATTTCTCTCAGTGCAGCTCCTGTATATTTGTATATTTATTTCTAAGCATGTCATAATTACATATATAATCATTTTTATTTTTTTGGGGTTCACTGGTAGCACTGGCTGGCCTGGA